ACTAGGGAGTGGAGTCAGCAATTCCTTAAGTTCTGACTATTAATTCAGATGTCCTCAGATGGTCCCATGTTCAGGGATAGGTTAGCCCATTTTTACAGTGCATGGTGTTCTACTTGTTGTTTGGGTTTTGTCAATTGTTCATGATGGTTATTTTCTAGAGTTCACCTCACTCCTCCCCACCCCGTGCCTTCCCGTGTTAGTGATGGTGGATAATCCATACCTTGAGCTTCATCTGAATAAGCTCTTACAAAAGTGTGCAGTGGAGGGGGTTCCCATGGGCCTTCAGTCAAGGGGTTTGCACTCCCAGGTTTTTTTCTGGTGGATAAAAAAGATGGAGGCTGCAGGCCAGTTTGGTGTCGTAGTTAAGTGTGCGGACTCTAATCTGGGAGAACCGGGTTTGATTCCCCACTCCTCCACTTGCACCTGCTGATGTGACCTTGGGTCAGTCACAAGCTCTGGCACAGCTGTCCTTGAAACAGAGCAGTTTGTGTCAGAGTTCTCTCAGCCCCACCCACCTCACAGGGTGTCTGTTGTGGGGAGGGGAAGGGAAAGGAGTTTGTAAGCCGCTCTGAGACTCCAAGTGAAGGGCGGGGTATAAATCCAATCTCTTCTTCTTCTTCTTCAGTCCTCGATTTGAAAAAACTAAACAAGTTTCTGGAGGTTTATACATTCAGAATGGTTTCTCTTTCATCTGTAATCAAATTGCTTACCCCCAACTGAAATCCCTTTCAGCCACACCAAATTTGGTTCTCCGAGCTCCTCTGCCTTGCGGAGTCAGAGTACATCACCCTTCCTCCAATTCTGGATTTCCTGATAAGGGAGTCTATCCTGCACCACAGTGTAGCTTGCTTACACCTTACAGCACGGAGGTGACACCCATAGAGTTGCAGTTCTTGATGTGTGATATCCTAGTCCAGGCTAGAAAATCCTCTACCAGGTGCTCATACTCTAGGAAGTGGATTTGGTTTGAGTCCTGGGCCAGGTCCAAGTGGTTGTCGTCCTTTACCTGTCCCTTATCTTTAGTTTTGGAATATCTGTTTTCCCTATCTGATGAAGATTAGCTGTATCTTCTGTAAAAGCCCACTTAGTGGCCATTTCAGTGTATCATGAGAGTGTAGGGGGCTCTTCTCTGCCCATAAGTTGTTGCAGGGTTTTCTCAAGGGTCTGCTCAACGTATTTTCCCCTGCTCCTCACGTTGTTCTGCAGTGGTCTCTCTTCCTGGTACTGCTTCAGTTGATGAAGCCCCCCTTCGAGCCTTTGGCTTTGTGCCCCCTGGCCTTCCTTTCCAGAAAAGTAGTTTTTCTGGTAGTAGTAACCTCGGCCAGGAGATTGAGTGAGTTAGCAGCTCTGAGGGTAGATTCCCTGTTCCTGCTTCACCCCAGTTTGGAGTTCCTTCCAAAGGAAGGAGATAGTGTTGCCAGTGTTCTTTCCATCCCCAGATTCTAAGGCCAAGAAAGCTCTTTGTACTCTGGATGTACTCTGAAGTGCTCTGTTGCACTACATTGAGAGAACAAAACCATTCTGGGTGGATAAAGCCTTGTTCATTTGTTACTGGGACCTGAAGAGGGGAAGGCCACTTCTTCTCAATCCCTCTCTAGGTGGGTTGTAGCTGCCATCTGTTCCCGTTATGAGACAGCTGGATAACCATACCCATTAGAGATTAAGGTGCATTTCATGAAGGCACAAGGTTCCTTGGCTGCTTTCCATAGGAGGATCCTGCTGGTGGACATCTGCAAAGCTGCAGTGTGGTTAGCAGAAAACATGTTTTTCAACCATTATGTGATGGACCTGCAAGCAAGGAAGGATGCAGACGCGGGCAAGGCAGTTTTCCAGTCACTTTTCCAATGAGAGCTTCACCCCAGCTCCTTCAGTGAGTAGTTTGCTAATGTCCCAATGTAGGACTGCACTGAAGACAGAAGATGAAAACCGAGTTGCGCTTACCTGTAACTGTTGTTCATTGATATCTTCCGTGCAGACACACATTCCCTCCCTCCTGCCCCACTGTGAGCTCTTGTGTGCTCGCACTTAGTAATGTGTTAGCTTGCAGCAGCCTGGCAGAAACTGAGGGAAAGGGGCACCCACCTCTGGAGCACATGACAGTTTGGGTGGGAGAAGCTGTTTGCGTCGGCTGTGGAGGGGGTGGGGCCCCCCCTCAGAGGACTTTTAGCTGGAAGAAAATCTGTCTCGGGCTGGCCTGCGCAGGTGCAGTCCCAATGTGCATCTGCGCAGAAGATGTCAATGAACAACAGTTACTGGTAAGTGCAAATCTGTTTTGTATCATAATTATTTCCAACAAATTAAAAATATACAGTAGTATGCACTTCTTCCTAATTGTACAAGCAGGTTTTCTGGAAAACATAATACGTTGAAGTAGATCATAAAGGGAGCCGTTCCCAAAGAGAGATGGTGCACTTAACCTGCATTGTTTTCAAAGTGCTGTGCAAATCTTGTTTGCAGTAATGCATAACAGACTACAATGGCCTTTGGTGGATTATATCCAGATTTGTGTTATGCCACAGTTCTGCAACCGTATTGCATGAGTGTGGAGTCTGTCACTGAAGTCAAGCATCTGTGTTCTGAGAACATAAAAGTTCATTAAAAAGCGGAAGTTTTCTGTTTCTAGTCCTCCAGGAGGTAAAAATAGCACATGATTCCATTGGATAAGGAAGAGCCCTTCATTGATCTTTGCTGCTCCCAGTAAAAAGCAGCAGCTGAGTAGGCAGAATGCACAGGAAAATACGATTGATTTGACGGGACAGAATTTTGAGCTTTTTACATGTAATTATCTAAAGCTGTGGGGTTTTTTTGCTGAATATCACTTGAATCAACAGTTTATCACAGTGTTACAGTATGTTTTAATAGATTGATTGTAGCCGTGTGTAGAATAAAATTATTAAAATATGCCGAAATTGCTTTATGAAACATACCTTTATGCAAGGATGTATCTCTCTTCACTTTTGAATGCATCTGTTTATTAACTGACTAGTATGAGTCTCATCAAACAATTCAGTGCTCTGGTAAACTTTCTGCTATCAGATCTTTCAGGAAATTTGCTAGACAAGCACCCATTAATTAGAAGCTGAGGTGCATTACTATTTTTATCAGGCCCTGTAATTCAGGTCCTTTAATGAAAAATTAAACATTTTAATATGTCTCCAGAATACCTTTGTTGGGTGTGCATTTCAGATAAACCTTCCTGTAACCATTCAGTTAGCAAATTAACATTTCTCTCTAACTTCATGGGAAATACAGTCAGATCATTCTTAAGTTCTTGTTTTGATATGATTCAGTACAAGTGGCTGAGCTATGAAATTGTGAGATAGACACAGTTCCTCAGAATGTGAAGCTGAAGCTTATTTTGTCTGAGAGTAAATCCCTCTTGAACTTGGTAGTTTTTTCTTCTGAGTAAGCACATAAAGGATCAGGATTCAGTGTGAATTTGACAGCATTTTGGTCTGCATAAAGCTGTGTGGCGAAACCTTGCTTCCTTTTGCACCTGCCCCCATTATACTGCATTCATTACTTGCATGGGGTTCTGGCCCTTTACTGTTAGGGTACATCTTTGCTGTATTGGGTTCATCTTGTTCACAGCCACATTTAATTTGGCAATCATTAGATCTTTTTGTTAAAGTACACTTTCTGTATGCCAAAATACTTTACAATTTGTACTGCATAGCCCCTGATTGTCTGCTAGCAGACCCCTTACATTCGGAAGGCTCCCCATCCCAACAGAACTATTTCGGCCAAAGCATAAATGCCTCATGCAATCCTGGTTGGCTCTTGGGCTTGGGAGTAAGGAAATGCTTACTAAACTCAGCCTCTTCACACATTCTTCCTTCTTTACCTCCTTTATCAGATGAATGTTGTAAAGGGCTTCAGTCTAACAGGGTAGGCTGCCAAGACTGAGCCTTTCTACAGACCTTATTAAAAACCATGCAGGTTTGTTGGATAAGGACTCTCTCATGCAGTAGCTTGTACTTCTGTCCAGACTGGGTTGGGGAAAGCTGTTCCTGCATGCTTGTCACTATAGGTGTGCATTCAGCATAAACAGAACCAAAAAATACCCGAAAAATACCTTACCGGAGATCTGTATTTGGCTACCAATATAGCTGAGCCCCAAAAGGCCGGGTTTTAGGGGGCTTTCATTAGGATGTATCAGGTATACTGTGAGCCAATCGGCTGGGGTGGTGGGAGGAGACACCTCTGTGCTGCCTTGGCTGCGGCTGGCTGTCTCCTCTTGCAGCTCAGTTTAAACTGAGTTTAAACTGAGCTGCAAAAGAAGCCAGCCCACGATTGGCCAGGGTGGCAGGAGCTGACAGCTCTGCACTGCCTTGCCTGTGGCTGGCTGGCTCCTCCTGCAGCTCGGTTTAAACTTGACAGCTCCACACCTCCCCAGCTGATCCTCTCTTGCAGCTCTGAGCTGCCCCAGCGGTTCCTGGGCTGGTGAGTTCACCTGGAAGGCGTTTAAACTTCTTTGGGGTTGTGTAGCTTGGAGAAGGCATTTAAAGGGACTGCAATCTCTTTAAATGCCTTTCAATGGAGGATAGGGGCATCTTCTTTGGGGGCCCATAACATTTGACACCCTGGTCCAATCTTTTTGAAACTTGGGTTTTTTTTAGGAGAGGCACAAGCAGCTATGCTGCAAATTTGGTGCTTCTACCTCAAAGAAAAGAGCCCCCCCCCGCCCCAGATCGATTCTCTATTATACCCTATGGGGACCATTGACTATAATGGTCCCCATAGAGTATAATGGAGAAAAAAAGGGGGGGGGGATTTCCCAAATCCAAATATCATACTGATATTAGGATTTGGGAATATTGGGAAATGCCAATATTTTGGGGGTTCAGCACACCCGAACCTGAAAAATACTGGTTTGGGGGGGTTATATACCCCTACTTGTCACTTCAGTTAGAACCAGATGAAGGAATTTTTAATTAAGTTGTCTTGCATAAAACAGACTGGCTGTTTAGGACACTAATAAAGGACATTTTGTTTTTCAGGCGTCTACACCTCAACAAAAAAGCAACAGACAAACAGCCGTATAGCAAGCTTCCAGGAGTGTCACTTCTAAAACCATTAAAGGGTGTCGATCCAAACCTCATCAACAACTTGGAAACTTTCTTTGAGTTGGATTATCCAAAAGTATGTATAAAATTTTAATTTTGGATCAAAGCAATGGGTATCTTGCCCAGCAGAATATTGTAATGCCTGATAGTTCAGGGGGTGCAAATATAAACTATTATATTTTTTTTACTGCCTTGATACTGTTCAAAAACATAAAAATATCTAAAATAGCTTTCCGCACAGGAGCTGAATGTCCATCTCAGCTGTTCACTGTACAGTGGAGGAACTAACAGAAGGATTTCTGCTCATGAAGTGTGACTCTCTCCTTCCTCCCCTTTCGCAGCCCCAAATGCTCCTGTGGGGACATCTCAGGATCATTTGGGGCTACAGCGTGAGCAGGGAGGTGAGAAAGTGACTTCTCAGAACTGGTGTACATAACTTCAAACCTGTCAAGCAGCTGTTGAATTGTAGCTTGTCGGCTGCATTCTTATACTCATTGGTACTCTTCATTAGGTGCTACTATACCGTGTATGAATTGCAGTCATTAGGAATTGCCCCTGATTAATTAAGCTCTGTAGTAGAAATATCCTTCTTAAAATCTTTGTGATTCATCAGCTAGGCTACTAAGTGGTAACCTAGATACCCACTTGGTGTCATCTGCCTTCTATTTTTCTTTTGCAATAGTTTTCTTGGTCATCTTTCCTGTGTTTGAATTAGAGTTGCAGCAATTGGTTGCTTCCTCAGAGAAGGCAAATCTTTTAGTTTCCTGAAAAACCAAATTCAGTATGTATGGAGACCTGAGAGCTGCCAATTTGGCAAGTTTTTGCACAGGGTGCTTTATTTCGTTATAGGCAAAACTGTCTTGCTTGCATTTAGGCTAAACAAATGTAGAAGAGGGTAAATTGGCAGTAGTTGCTTACAAGCATTGCCTATGCATCTTCTATAATTCTTTGGTTTGGCAAGTCTGAAATATGGAATGTAAAGAGAGGCATAAAAATATATTTTGCTGAAATACATTTGAGAATGAAATTCATACCAAAACCTGACAAACTGAGAACAGGCATGGAAACTATTATTTAGAATCCAAAGGTCTAGTTAGTGTATTTTTCAGAAGCAGTTTCTGAGTGCTGCTGAACGAACTATTTATCTTATGGTGGGGTGTGTGTGTGAATTGCTCTTTTAATCATCTTTCCAGTGTGTTCGGAAGTAGAAAATATCTGGGTTAACTCTTATTTTCATGTGAAGCTATCAGTGATTCACCAGTGAACGCAAAATTAAGATGGACTTGGTAACTTGTGTGTTCAGCCATTTTCTGATGTTGGTAAAAAGAGAGCTTATGACTTGTAGCCAACTCAGTAGTAAAGACAAATAATGTGTTAATTTAAAAACTTGTTTCCCTATCCCTCTCTATCTCTAAATGGACATCTAATGTATTGTTTGGTAGTAAGGTTAAGGAAACAAGTTTAAAAAACAAAAACAAAACCCAAAACTTGTTTCCTTAACCTTACTACCAGACATAATTTTTTTGGTTTTCACATGCAGTGTTGCTGATGTAAAATATGCCTTGCATCCAGTGACATGCAACTGGAAACCTAGATGGACTTGGCGCAGTTCTGCTTGCACAAAATGTTGTGCAACGTCTAGTGCCTTCCTCCCTATATATTTTAATAGGGCCTGGAAATTTGTTGCACAACATTTTGTACAAGCGGAAACACAAGTGGGGATGCCATAAGTTTGACAGTGCAAGCAGCTGCTGCCACAATGTTTCTTTTGCATTTCTGCTATTCAGGGGTTATTTCATAGAAAAAGAGGTGCAGGAGCTCATTAGCATAACTTATTTGCATATGCCACACCCCCTGACATCACCAGAAGTGTGTCAGAAGGCAACACCCACCGCTCAGGCTCCACTGGACTGTTTTGGATTGCTAGATACCGGGAGGGGGGGGAACGTGCATGTCTGTCCCCGCAGACGAGGGAGAGCTTGTACCTGAATAAAACTTGGTCTTAAAGGTGCCACTGGACTGTTTTGGAATGGGGGGGGGGTTGGGTTCTGCAGCTTACCTGGTTGCTTCTTCCTGTGACTGAAGGCTGCTGGGAGCAGGGGGTGGGGCTTGTTGCATGTGCCTGCCCCCTGGCCTCTTTACTGGCGGAGCTCCGCTCCTGTGCACTCCTGCAGGAAATGACCCCTGCTGCTATTCAAGAGCTCTGGTGCAAGTAGAAGTTTTGCGCTAAATACAACCCCATGTTTACAAATAGGCAAGATATTTACTTAATTAAAACATTTCCCCCCCATGTCTTGTCATAAACAGCAACTCAGGACAGCGTGCAAAGCCAATAATAATACAGTGAAATCAAAACCTTCACAAAATGTAAAGTAGCTTTATGTTGGCTGTGGAACTGGTAATTGGTTTGAAGTCCTCCTCACTTTTTTTTTTTGGCAAACCATTCCAGAGAGCCTTAGCTGCCCCTTTAAAAGAGCAAACCTGTGTAGTAACCAGACTCTGATGGAGGGCTCCAGTAGGAGGGGATGACGGGACCTGAGGTGATGGCATGGTTCGCACTTGGAAAGGCAGGGAGTCCTTCCACTACTCTAGAACATCTGGCTCATGTTCTAAACACTCTAGCTTCTTGTTTCTTTGCGCTACTTCAACTATGTATAACCTAGACCTCGACAAATTTTCTTTGGTTCTGTAAACCAGACCAAAAGTTTAGGAGCCAGACTTATTACTCAGTTTTCAGAGTTTCACGTATTGATGACCATATTTTGTAGTTACTGCCATCATATTGCCATAATACCTACTCCTTGTTTCTCATAATTTTTAACAGAAATATATAAATACATACAGGGATATTGCCCTGATTGTCATCCCCTCAACTGAAAGCTAACCTCTAACCCTAACCTAATTTTCTGGCAATTCCATTATTGTTTTAAACGGTCCATTTAGTTGAATATTGGAGGCAATTGATTATAGGAAGCAACTGGTTAAGAAATGAATTCATCCACCACTTCTGAATGTTGTGAAGTGAAACATACAAACAAGTAATGACAAATCTTCATGTGCATGGATATTCTAATATGAACTGATAAAAATGTTATTGTATTTATTGTACTATGCCATTGGAATGTTTTTATCATGTTACCCACTCTGAGCCCGGACACAGGGAGAGTGGGATACAAATCTAATAAATAAAAAGCAGCTTACATCATTCTTCTCTCCTCCATTGATTCCTCACAACAACCCTGTAAGCAAGTTAGGCTGAGAATGTGTAACTGACCCTAGGTTACCCAGTGAGCTTCCTCAACAGAGTAGTGATGTGAACATGGGTCTCTTGCATCCTAGTCTGAAACTCTAACCGTTACACCACACTGGCTTTTGAACAACAGCAAGCAGTGAGTCCTGGCTAAGTCATGTAAGTTGCATGGTAGCAAGTCACCTAGTGGTTGCTGCCAGTCTTGGCCTCAATGAATCCTCCCTCAAAGACCAAAATGCCCCTGGAAAGGGCCCTGTCCTCTCCTCTTGCCTGTTATTGACAGAAATCAAGGCTTGAATACTGTTGTGGTTGCCTAGAAATGGCCATTGGACATAAGTTTCTTAAAGCTTACAGGTGCTGCTTCTGTTACTGGGGGAGGGGGAATGTTAACCCTCCAGTTTTTATTTTTAAGATTTTTGATTTTTCTGCAAAACAGTGGCATTTTTCAAGTTTGTAGGAAAATGTTTTGTCTGTTCATGGCTCCAGTTTTTGGATTTTAACTATCCACACATTTGGCTGTATTGATAATTAGGTATTTTGATGGCTTTATCCCTCTCATTTTAGAAATTGTGTATATGAACTTTGACTTAAATGGCCCATGCATTAAGCTGCTTTTATTTATGAGAGAAAAGATTGGGCAAAAGTCCTGAATAAAGTAAATCTGTGTTGTTCCTCTTATCTCTCCACTGTATTTCTAATTGTGGTTCCTTCTCTTCCCACTTCTCCATTCTAAATGAATTCATTCCTGTGGCTTGTGTAGAGCAAGGGATAAGGGATTATCGGTTTCATCAGCAACTGCATAGCGCCTGCCTCAAAAAAAAAAAATTATGGGTAGTACCTTATCAAAAGGAAACCAGTGACAGCAGTCCTTTGTGTCATCTAAAACAGATGGTTTCTGAGATTTGAATATCGTTTGTCCAGGACATCTCCAATGCATTACTTATGTAAAACAGATGTTTATGACTGCTCTTTAACTGCTTAATCAAATTAATTCTCAAAAAGGAAACTGACTGAGGCACATTATGATGGCACATGTTAACAAAGGTCCTGACAGATTGTTTAAACCTTTGTGGAGTTCCAGTTGTGTGTTATCATAAGGGTTCTTCCTACAGCAGTGTGTTATCAAAAGTGTTCTTCCTTGAGCAAAAACATCCCTGTTGCTGGAAAACAATTGCATATTATTGCTGTAACAATCCAGTTGTTATATAAATAATAGTTTGCACCTTTATTCTTGTAAATCAAACCTGGGCTAAAACTTCATAACAATTTGCACTGCAAATCTTTTCCCCCAGTTTGAAGTGCTTCTTTGTGTACAAGACCATGATGATCCTGCCATTGATGTGTGTAAAAAGCTCCTTGGCAAATATCCCAATATTGATGCTAGACTATTTATAGGTGAGTGAAGGAAAACTCTTATTATTTCTATTGTCAATTTTTTAAAAGAAAAATCAGTCTGTATTGAACTGCATATCAGTATTGAACTGCATATTATTGGTCGTCACAAGATACATCTGGATCTTCTTAAATACACGTAAGGGTATCTTCTCTATGCAAGTGTTTCCATTCTACTTGGCCTGTAGAAATCTGGTAATTCTAGATTCCTACAATTCAAAACATTTCAGACATAAATGACTCCAAATGGAAACAGGCTGAATTGGGTGTGGTGTTTTTTCCTTCCAGAAAAATCTCTATGCAACTGTTCTGGTGAAATGAGGTTCTCAAATGTTTATTGAAAGTCTCTCAGCATTGACTCTTTGCAGCTTTAGCTTCTTTTAAGTTTTCATCTCTTAACTGCAAAGGAGAGGACATAAAGCGTGATCTTTGTCTGTCTTTTCTCTGCCTGGCTCCTTTCATATGCCCACAGAATATTTTTACCTGCACCTGTTAAGATGGAGAGTATGCATGTGATGTTGTTTATTTTACTGCATGTAGTATACTGGGAAAGGGATGGTCATGAACTGGTTAATGAGCCAAAATTCGGACTGAACTTGAGCCGGTTCAGTACTCAGGAACCAATGTTCATGGAAGGCGCATTCCCTGAACATTTACCTAACTTTTAGCTGGTTCCGTTCGGGGCCAGCATTTTGCTCCCCCCCCCCACTTGAAGGGGTGGGGAACAAAACTGAAGGGTTAAAAGAAGCCCCTTCCCGGGCGATCCCCGCCCCTTTCTCCCAATGGTGGGTGAGCCATGGCTAGCAGAAGGGGGGGGAGTCTCTTCCAGGGCAATACTCCCCTTTCTCTTGGCCATGGCAAGTCACCACCAGGAGAAAGGTGGAATGGAAGTCCCTTCCCAGGCGATTCCTTCCCCTCCCGTTTCTCCTGCCTGTGGTGAGCCACCACCAGGAGAAAGGTGAAAGAGAAGTCCCTTCCCAGGCAATCCTCCCCTTTTTTTGGCTGCGGCGAGCCATGGCTGGGAGAAAGGTGGAAGGGAAGTCCCTTTCTGGGTAACCCCTACCACCATTCTCCCGGTGGCTGCAAACCATGGGCAGCAGAAAGAGGGAAAGGAAGTCCCTTCCTGGACAGTCCCCCCTTTCTCCTGGCCAGGGCGAGCCTTGGCCAGAAGAAAGGTGGAAGGGAGTCCCTTCAGGAACCATTCCCCTCCTTTCTCCTGGCCAGGGCGAGTCTCAGCCAGGAGAAAGGTAGAAGGCAATCCCTTCCAGGGCAATTCCCGTCCCCCTTTTTCCTGGCAGTGGTGGGCTTCAGTCATGGGAAAGGTAGGAGTCCCTTCCAGGGTGATTCCCCCCCCTTTCTCCTGGCCCTAGTGAGCCTCGGCCAGGAGAATGGTGGAAGGGACTGCCTTCAAAGGCAATTCCTCCCCCCCCCTTTCTCCCAGTCATGGCTAGCTGTGTCAGGACAGGAGAAAAGGGTAACGGAAGTCCTTTGCTGGGTGAACTCCCCTTTCTCCTGGCCGTGGAAGGGAGAAATGTGGAAGGGAAGTCCTTTCCTGGGTGATGAAAGAGGGGAACCAGACTTGCTGGACTGGTTCAGTTCAGGTGGTGCCCGTTTGGTTCTGTTCAGGGTTTGGTTCAGGGGCCACCCCAGACCCCAAACTGAACTGCCTTTTGGCTTCATGCCTATCCCTATACTGGTACACTTGCAAAGTGGGTATTAGTTGCAGCTCATTATCAGATACTGGGTCACGAAACTGTAATGTGTGAAGTGACTGCTAGTACGAAGGCAAATGTTGTTGCTAATTAAAAATGTTTCTGAACTTGCTGCATCTAGCTGTATCTGCTCCATCAGATTGCAGTGAGCTGACTGGATAATGGAAAATGCAATATTTACCTTCCAGGGTAGGCTGAATGAGAGTTTCACTAAGTGTTGCCTTACAGGAATTACATGGGCAGAACTGCAAGGTGCTATGTTGTCTGTAAATCCCTGTCTCAGCTAGTTGCTGCAGGCAGGATCCAAGAGCTCCACTCTTAGTCTCTGAGCTTACAGTTGCTGTTCTTATCCTGGGTTCATTAGCGGTCAAGAACCGGTGCTCCTGTTGAAGTCTCCTTGATTAAAGTGGGTTCAGAATCCAATCAAGTAGTTAAGGATCTGCATGTTATGAGGACTTGAGAGCCCAGAAGCTTCCCTTCATATCATTCAGTTTTAGCTGAGAAAGTAGTACATTTTGAAAACAGATGTGTGATTTTTTACATATAACCTAGAGTTTGTTCTTTAAGGTGGTAAAAAGGTTGGGATAAATCCGAAGATCAACAACTTAATGCCAGCGTATGAAGTTGCCAAATATGATTTAATATGGATCTGCGATAGTGGCATTAGAGGTAAGCATGGTCAGAGGTAGTAGAACCCTTTTTATTGTACCTATATAGGTGTGTATTTTTTTAAAAGAATACCCAAAGTCTCCTGGGGTAAATGTGATGGTGTTGGTATTATGATATCATTCATACCATCACTAAACAAAGCTCTTCACGAAGCGATGTAAGCAGAAAGGGCAAGGCTTAGCCCCAGTTGCAAAGACAAAAATGTAATGTTTACACTCACAAGACCTTGGCATGGGGTTAATTATGCAACCTGCTTTGCTGTATGTGTTGCACTTATGAATGATTAGGTGTTAGTAAAGGAGACTTAGTTTTTTATCATATATCCTATAGCAGTCAGTGTAGTTTTACACAGAAAGAAGGATGTAAATCTTATAAATAAATGTTGCATCAGGACAATAGGACAAGCTTCTTCTTTCCCTGCTGCTGCTGTTACTACTGCAACAGTAGAACTCTCTGAATAGCTGATCTTTCTCATTTTGTTCATAGCATTGGGAGATGCAGTACTTGTTTGACTAGATTCACAGTATTGTAGGTGTTAACGTTGCACTGTATTTCTCACTTGAACCTAAGAACTTCATGATGTAGACCATGTGTTACATTGTTGCCCGTAAGTTTGCCTCATATTTTAAATGGGAAGTAATTGTCTTTTGATACTACTTCCATTGTCTTCAGACCAAAGGTCCAACTTAGAATGTTGCAGCCTTCTACTGAAACATGCAAAAAAAAAAAAATGCTCATGTGTCATGCTGTTAACGATGTAAAATAGTCCCTTTTTATTTGAAATTGTGAAATCACATTTTCCCAAAGTTTTAAACTGTTGATCCATGTTAACCACAATCCAGTTTTTATTTTTAGTAACACCAGATACACTAACTGACTTGGCCAATCAAATGACAGAGAAAGTTGGACTGGTTCATGGCCTGCCCTATGTGGCAGATAGACAGGGCTTTGCTGCCACTCTAGAACAGGTGAGTGCTATTTTGCTCTCTTCCCTTCTTCCCCAATAAAATTGCCCTCTCGTGTGGTAAACTTATATTCTTTGAAACTGTGACCTCTTAAAGTTTAAAAAGCATAGAGTTTGCACAGCCATTTTAAGAAGAAGAAAAAATTGGAAGAAGAAAAAGTTGGAGCTGTGGTGTTTTTTTTGGTGTTCTTTCCCTCCTAAAATATTTTTCACACTTTTAATAAGGTAGAACTAAGTGTATTTTCTGACTGTTCTGTATGGTAACAGCTCTGAATTTAGAGTAGCTATGCTAAGTCCTCGATGGGAGCAATCCTAAGCAGGTCTACTCAGAATCATACTAAAGTCTACTCAGTGGGGCTTACTTCCAGGAACATGTTCTTAGGATTGCACTGTATATCACTTGAATTTGCCAGTCATATGGAGCAGCCTTCTCTTCCAGGCTTCTTAGAGCCATTGGGGTTTAGTGGGTTAGAGCATCAGATTAGGATCTGGGAGACCCAGGTTTGGCTTCCCACTCTGCCATGGAAGCTTGCTGGGTGATCTTGGGAGGAGGAGACGAGGACCACGTGAGCCACTTTGGGTCCCCCACTGGAGAGAAAGGTGAGGCATAATTGAAGTAAATAAGTGAATTCTGAATTCTCTGCTGCTGGTACTGGCAAGTGGACAGGATGGAGGTGTAAGCTTTTTTTGGGGGGGGGGTGCCTGCATTTCCATTCCGAGTTCAGAAAGGCCACTGTTGTTCTCTTAATCCGTAGCTTCTGAGCTCCTGCAGCTGAATGCAATATTGGTGTTGCAAAACCAGTACAATTTACTTGCCTGGTGTCAAGAACACATATTTTTCTCAGTGACTGTATGCTAGTCTGTTTTCAAAATTTGTGTGCTCTGGCACAGAGTAGTAAAGGAACAGAGGTCACCTGAGCCAGCAGCTTAGCTGGTCATGGGGCAGGTGTTGCGTGCTTTGACATTCTTGCTGCATTTTTGTCATGCTATTCTTCCTAACACTTTAACACTGACTGGGGCACTTGCCACTGAAATTCCGTGCTTTGCCACTTCAAATTACACATGTGTACTATAACTGGGTATATCAGATGATGAATATTATTATATTAGAAGAGTTGTTCTGTAGCAGGATTTTGATTGAAACCTTCCTTTGAAACTTTCCTTTTCCTCTTTATTTCCTGCCCCGTTTGCCTCACTTTCCTCTTGCCACTCTTCCCAATCTCTTCTAGAAAATAGTCTTTATTAGAGCCTGTCCTTGAAATATTGCTGTGCTCACAGTTGTGGCCATATCTAAATGTAGAACTTCACAGCCTCATTGGGATCTGTGCAGGGTAAAGACTGCATGGTTTAAATGCCCCCAAAGTGGCAATGTGAATGTGTTCACAGAATTGTTCATTGCCCCCTCTTTGTCTGTGGCACACAATCAATTTCTACTATTAGTCTAGTATTAGTCTAAAAGAGACCTTGTGCAATGTAATGATTAGAGTATCAGACTGAGGTCCAGGAGACTCCGATTCAAATCTCCATTCTATCATGGTGTTGAGTGACCTTGTGCCAGTCATACACTCTCAATATAAACTTCCTCATAGGGTTCTGGTGAGGATAAAATGGGGGAGGGAATGATGTGTGTCCCCAGAGGTCATTTCGGGGGGGATCGCGGGGGATCGCAGTTCCCCCGGGTGAGGTACGGGGGGTGGGGCACATGACGAAGCCCCGCCCCCCGCTTCCGGCCCTCATTCAGCCAGGAGGAGGCAAGAGAAGAGGGAGGGTAAGTTGCTTCCTCCCTGCCTCTCCCCACTCCTGCCTGCCTGGGGCCAGGGAGGGCCTTCGCGGGGCTTCCTTGCACTCCTGCCGGCCTTGCAGGTCCACCGCCGGGCCCCTCATGGGGCTCGGCAGTGGAGCTGCAAGGCCGGCGGCGGCAGCCGGGACCATTGGGGGCGGGGGGTGTGGCCTTATGCCACACTTCTGGTGATGTCAGGGGGTGTGGCATATGCTAATGAGTTCCCCTAGCTCTTTTTCTACGAAATGACCCGTGTGTGTCCCCATTGGGGAGAAAGGCATGGTATAAACGAAGTAAGTCAATAAAGCAGCATCAGAGTCAGCTTTGATGTTCCAGTTTCATGGATTGTAGAAGGGAATTCACATTTAAGGTGCTGTGAGGCGCCTGCACAAATCTTCATATGACTAACAAACATACAGTCAGTGCTCTCCACAAAGGGTAGAAAGCTTCTTGTCTGGTTTTACACAGTAAACAAAGTCTCTAGAATTCCCAGATGGCAAGTATGCTAGTTGTACATTTCTCGGGAAATGATGCATACAGTATCTTCTGATAGTTTGCGCAGGTGTTGGATTCAGTGGAAAAGCATTACATGAGTGTTAATTTTTTTTAAAAGAGACTCATATGGTAATGTAGGAGGCTGTGGGATAATTACCATGCTTTTTTTCTTAACAGGTATACTTCGGCACGTCTCATCCAAGATCATATATTTCTGCCCATATAACTGGCTTCAAATGTGTAACAGGAATGTCTTGTTTGATGAGAAAAGACGTATTGGACCAAGCTGGTGGACTCATAGCCTTTGCACAGTACATTGCTGAGGATTACTTTATGGCCAAAGCAATAGCTGACAGGTAAAATTCAGGAAAAATCCTCCTTGGAGAACGCTTCTGGAAGCTTAGTTTATTTTGCATATACAGCATATTTCATAATCAATTTCCCTTTCTATTTACCCACCCTCCGGGACCGTGATTCATGTCCATTTATTTCTAAAGCTTACCAGTAGCACCCTAGACTAGTCAGGCAGCTTGTGTTACATCCCACCACTTCTGTTCTTCTGAATTCCACTTAACTGTGTCTTTTTTAAAACTGAAGCTTGGGGGCAGCCTTCAAGTATAATGTCAAAAGAAGCCTCAGTTCATACCTGTTAGCAACTTTAAGGGCCTAGACAAGCTGTCTCAACAGAGGACTCTTGTGGAGTAGATCTAGCTGCTTTACACACCATTTTAGACAAGAGATGGGTGGTAGCATACTTAGTGACACATTTTATTTTGCACGTAGAAAAGTGATGTGTGAGATTTGGATTCTATCTTACTCTAACCTTCTTGACGTGTTACCTATCCTCAGTGGGAGTGCAGACTTCCACGATCAGGCAGAACTAGAGCTGTCCCAACTAGAGCTGAACTGCAAGATTCTTTGTGTTGCTTGGCTCTTAGGGCAGCAATTTACATTCTAAGGCACTGATAAGCATTTTAATAAACTGTTAAGAGAGGTGTATCATAAAAGCATGTAGCAGTTGCCCTGAAAATTAATACAGAGTATCCTTGGATGTGAAAACTGTCACCTGCTGTCATGTATCTTTTTTATTAATGATGTGTATTTGTTTTCAGGGGCTGGAAATTTGCAATGGCCACACAAGTTGCAATGCAGAACTCTGGCTCTTATTCCATTTCCCAGTTTCAGTCCCGAATGATCAGGTGAAAGTTCTACCTTGATTCTCTTTTGTCTGTGCTCCTTGCTTTCTTTCACTGTTGCATCTGGTTTCAAAGTCATAGGAGTCTGACCCATTGGACTGGAAATACTAAAGTACCTGTTCAGTGTCACACACAACTCTTCTGGGAAAACCTGTATTTAAAGAAAAATAAGCAAGAGATTAAAGTGGATGTACCTAGCAATCTAAATGATATTTATAACCATTTCATTATGAAGCACTGTGGTTTTTGAGCTGGTGTCCAGTTTTTCTCTTATAAATACCTATTCAGGTGTTTATCAAATCATAAACTATTTGCTGTATATTTTATATAAGTTATAGCCAGTTATCAGCTCAATAGTAGAAACATTTTGAAATAACATACAGATAAAGCATATTTAAATCTATGTATGGGCTTTCTGCAACCTTTGGGCCATTGTTTTGTTTAGTATACAAGCAAAAGATCTTATGATGACATCCAAAGACTCTGCTGTTTTGTTTATTACATAGGCATCTCAACTAGGACCTCTGGTCCTAGTGAGACATGGTACTACTTGTGAAACTTGGGTAACTTGTACCTTTAGGTCAAGAACGACAGATTTTTTAAAAATTATAATATAGTGAAACATCAGTTCTAGATCCAACCTAATATATCTGTAGGTCTTTATTTAGAACCTTTTTAATGCTGCCTTCAGAGACCTGATTGAGGTGTCTCACAATTAAAACAATGCAATAAAATCTTACAGCCATTAAAAACATGATGGTACTTCTGTTTGCAGATGTTTGGGACTTTTGCCATAGGGTCTGGGAACCCCTGAGTCCCACAAACAGAACTTGAGGGCTTGGGATGTGTGTGTGTGTTTCAGAAGCTCTGCTTGCAGTACTTTGGATCCAGCCCCCTTGTTATTAACAGCTGACCGTATACTAACAGTATAGTCTGATTTCAAGTTAGTTTTTTCTCTTTAATTCTAGATGGGCCAAGCTACGGATCAACATGCTTCCAGCAACAATAGTCTGTGAACCAATCTCAGAGTGCTTTGTTGCAAGCTTAATTATTGGTTGGGCAGTGCACCACGTGTTCAGATGGGACATAATGGTGTTTTTCATGTGTCACTGTCTGGCATGGTTTATATTTGACTACATTCAACTCAGGGGTGTTCAAGTAGGTTGAATTTCAGTACTTCCTATTTAACATGTATTCTCTTCTAAGTTAACTGAAATGTTTAGAGATCATCTGTGTAAAACCAATGAAGAGGGTATGTAACATTATTCCCCCCCCGGTTCACTTTCGTTTCTGTGAAGTCTTGTTCCAGGCATCCTGTTTGCCTTTTAAGACTTATGCCATGAAATAGGGAGTAAAAGGGGTGGCTTTGTATTGCCTTGTACTACAGGACACTCAGCTCTGGCAGTTTTTTCCCCCAGAAGAATCAGATCTAAGGCAGAAACACGAGCTGTAAACACTGATGTCTTCAGAGCTCCTTACTCCTTACCTACTTTTGTGCTATTTAAAGGGACAAATAAGAAAAAGTAGCATCAATCAGCCTTTTGTTTGTTGTTCAGCTAATAGGCGAAAGATTAGCTGCTTTGAGAGGGGCCATGGTTCAATGATAAGAACACATACTCAAGGTTTCAGATTGAATCAAGTTGAATCCCACACTTCCAGTTATACAGATCTCCTGTGGCAGGGTTTGAAGACAGGGCCCATGTATAATAAACCTGATCTTATTGCATACATGGAGGAAAAACCTGCACAGTCTCTTTGATTGAAAAATATATATTTTATTTCCAAAATGACCTAAATAGACTGTTATGGTAATGAATTTCTGGGCTAACCATAATGCCTGGTAAAGTGTACCTATTTCCTCCCTTTCTTTCAGCCTTAGTATTTTTGAGTCCTTCTGTCAGTTGACAATTACTGGATTAGGTTTTCCAGTAGTCTAACAATGTAAGGCAGCTTTCTTACATTCTTCTGGGGTCGGTACAATCTACGAGACGCTTGTATACTATAGTGATTTGAGTCGTGATAAGTACCAGCAATAGATAGTTTGACGTTTCCCATTTTTTGCATGGAACATTGATAATATAGTATTGTATAACTTAAATAATAACAGGCTGTAAGCTAAAGTAGTGTCCCGTTTGGTTAGGATGTACCCATGAAACATTTAATATAGTTGTTAGCATTGTCACTAAAGGTGAGCATCTGTTTTGTCCAATCTCCAGGGTGGCGCTCTGTGTTTTTCAAAACTTGACTATGCAGTAGCGTGGTTCATCAGAGAGTCTATGACGATATACATCTTCCTCTCTGCCTTGTGGGATCCTACTATTAGCTGGAGGACAGGACGCTACAGGTTACGCTGTGGAGGCACTGCAGAGGAGATCCTTGATGTATAGCCACAGCTTTGTGACTCTTTCAAATAAAGTGAAAAAGGAGAAAAAAAGAAAGTATTATAAATTATGTTTATATAAATGCTTTTAAAAGATCTACCTTCAATAGTTTTATTACCTGTATGTTTTCGTATCTGTTCTTTAATTTATTTTGCATGGCACTTGCATCTGTGAAAAAAGTACATCTGTAGTCTTGGCCAAACGGTACCATTTTTATTGTACAAAATCAAATCAAGATAATTTGTTCCAGGATTTATTTTCCTCCTTAGGAGTGTTCTGCAGCAAACACTAAAGACAGTATCTTTCAGTATAGCAAAAGCTCTTTCTCTGTGTCATATAATGTCCTGTGAACTGTCGTTCCTATTGGATGCTGTCCTTTGACCATCTTCTACGCAGATATGTTGGAAATGAATGGAACTTGTGTGAGCACACAGCTGTGAATTATGGCTTTGTGGATTGCACATGTTGAAAGGGTAACACTTTTGTAGAAATGCAGTTGGTTTTGGAAAGCACAGGTGGCAGGGAACGAGGAGAGAAGCTTTCTAAATGATCTATGCCTACCTCTTGTAGTTGCTGCAGAGCAAATACACACTAATAGGTAACTAGGCCTTATTAAACAAAAAAACAAAAGCTGGAAATTTGTATTTATGTGTGTGTGTGACTGTGTGTGTGTATATATATATATATTAGCATATTATTATTTTTGGCCTCACTGCAGTGAGCCAATAATGGGCAGAGTTTGGTGTGGCAGGTGGGAAGAATTAATGGTTAGCTATGCCTAGAGGGCATCTTTTGGCCAACTCCAATTGGTTCTGTCTCGAACCACTTTTAATCACTGTGCTGTTAGTCTAGCTAATCTCCTCCTTCATTCCCATCTTGACTTTTTAAAATGGTGTTTTTTGTTCTGTGTGAATGAATGTTTGATAGTTAGAGGGGAGGGGGAATGCATTTCAGAAACATTTCACACGAGCTATTTTCTTATACGCTATGTCTTCTTAAGAATGTAATTTCATGATGCAGGTATTTAATATCTTTTTTAAAAAATGGGCATAGGTCTCTCTCTCTTCACTAGTCATCCTTAAATAGCAAATTGCAATAGATACTTGTCAGTATACTGAATAGGCAAGATGAGTTTGCTGTTACTGATATTCAATTGTAAGCTTTAACTATCAAAGTAGGTCTATTCTTGGCTTTTCCCCCTTCTGCCGTTAATCTGGTATTTCAGTTTGGTTTTTGTATTCAAGTTGTAATGGCTAAAAGACTAGATCATAACCAAGTTGTAAATGCATGATGTCTTACCTTTTCTATTCCTATTAGCTTGTTCTCCAGCCCCATCTATGGGGCCGCTCTTAACTTGTGGTGAGCTGGACTTGTTTGAAACTCATTTAAAAACAGACTCAAAATACAAAGCAACACTTAGAGGGGACACTGCATAAGCCTTTTGGGTTTTTTTTATAACTGTATTTATGCTGCTTTCTCTTCCAAATGGGCATGGCATGTTATCACCATAAAAGTCTATTGCTAAGTGCATATTGCCAGTACGGCAGCTTTAAATCCTGAGTTATGACACTTCTGTGACAAAAAAAAGCATAATGTGTAGCATATTAGCAATAACTGAGTGTTTATAGAAAAGGACATTTTTTTCCAATTTACTGAGCCAGTCCATTAACTGTCTGGTATACACATGGTGTAGTGTGTGTGGGTGTGTGGTTGTGTGCGTGTGTGGCTGGGTGCATGCATGTGTGTGCAGACATCCTATGAATGTTTAACCCTGACCAAATTTCTTCATTCCTGTATTTTCTTTATTTGCCTTATGACATTACAGAACTTGTTTTGAAGGGCATCTTTCCCCATAAACAAGGCTTTTAATGCACAAGCTGGTCTTTATATGTGAATCAGGAAGAACTGCTTCCTGAGGAAAACTGCACACCACAAAGCAGTCTGGTTATGACCCACTCAACTTTTTTTTTCCATATCCATTATTGTCAACACTGTTATCCAGCTTAATTTTGCAGATAATGTTTGTGTTTTGTGAAGTTTGGTTGATGCCATTCATTGCGCTGCTGAAGTGAAGCTTGGCTGGCTTAGCTTGATGCTGATCACCACATGGGCAGTGGAACAGAAAAACCAAAAAGGCTGGACAGACTTCATTGTGCACGTGTGTGTGTGCGTGTGTGTTTTTTAATGTTTTTTAGGTATGAAGAATTACTTTAGTGTTTGGGGGGGGGGTTGCATTAGTGAAGCCTTTAATGATAAAGGAAACTGATGCTTCGCTTAAGCCAGCAACTTGATTTCTTATGTAAGAAATCTGGGTTGATTATGAAATGGAAATAAACATTTTGAAGATATTGTAGGAGGGCACTATGGCAGAACAGAGGAAAGGCTCAAGGTGGCTAACTTAAAATTGTCTATCAACATGTCAAATATACCATGTTTATTTAAAATCATTGTCTTGTTTTTGTTTAAAATAAATTTTGAATACAATCAAATATTTTGAGAAAGTAGATGTGTTTCTTACCTTCCCTATAACCTTTCCTTTAAACATAGACAATACATTAATCTCACCAGAAAACCCAGTCAAAATGGTTTTCATCCCTTATCAGTTGCACTGTTCTCATTTCTGTTAAATTCCAGTTCTGCACTCTAGATAGTTGCATCATGGGAGCCAGTCATGTTTTTTTATACATGCATACATAAGATATCCCTGACCTGGATGGCCTAGGCTAGCCCGGTCTCATCAGAGCTCAGAAACTAGGCAGGGTCAGCCCTGAACACACATGAAAGCTTATACCCAGAATTAAACTTTGTCGGTCTCAACTGGACTCAAACTTCGTTCTGTTGCTTCAGACCAACATGGCTACCCACCAGGGACAGCCCTGGTTAGTAATTGGATGGGAGACCACCAAGGAAGTCCAGGGTCACAAGCCAGGGACAGGCAATGGCAAACCACCTCTGAACATCTCTTGCCTTGAAAAGTTGGCTGCAACTTGACGGCACTTTCCACCACCACCACCAATACATTCCTATAACTGCGAAACACCTCAAAAAATTAAGTGTTGATGGCGTCTAAACACTTTGTGAGACAGGATGATGGACTAGATAGGCTATTGGTCTGATCCAGCAGGGCTCTTCTTATGTTCTTAGTATCCCAAAATAGGGCTCACAATATTATAACTTGTTCAGGGGTCATTTCGTAGAAAAAGAGCTAGGGGAACTCATTAGCATAACTCATTAGCATATGCCACACCCCCTGACATCAGGGGCCCGGCGGTGGTCCTGCAAGGCAGGCAGGGGTGGGGAGAGGCGGGGAGGAAGCAACTTACCCTCCCTCTTCTCCTGCCTCCTCCTGGCTGAATGAGGGCCGGAAGCGGGGCGGCCGGAAGCAGGGGGCGGGGCTTCGTCATATGCCCTGCCCCCTGCACCTCACCCGGGGGAACTGTGTTCCCCCGCGTTCCCCCCCCAAATGACCTCTGATCTTGTTGAACCTGGTAGATTACTACATCTATAGAGTAGATGGCCTGATATGGAAATATATGGTTATCCTAGGATACCCCATCCAGTGGATGTGAATGTATGCCTGCACACAATGGGATCAAAGCTGGGTACTTTGCATAATTCTGTCCTTAAAGTTCCTAACGGTCATAGTGTAGTAATATTTTTGTATACCCTAGAGTCCTAATTCCATAGTATAGAATTGCTGTAGCCTGAATATGCCTCCACGGAAATACTGTGAGACTTGTGGTAGTATCATCTCAAGAAATTTTATCTGGTAATGGGTTGGACTCAAAGGAACAAAACCAAATTTAGTTTTAAAAGTACAGGCTATTAGACTAAAGGCTGAAGAAAATTATGCAGTCACCTTAGCCTCATAGGGCCTCTTAACTTCAGTGCTTCTCCAATTTACTACATTTGAAAGTGAGTAATTCTTCTTGGGGTTTGTTTTGTAGTTCGTTTTTGTTTTGCAGAGTGGACGGTTGAGCCTGGATCTCTCCAATAAGTCTGATACGCTTGTCACTGTACTGTGGTGATTCTCACACTGACTTGCCTAAAGCCACCCAATGGGTTCTGTGGATCAGTGGGGTCTTGACTCTCTTTGGGTATATTTGAAATAGAAAGAACATGAAATGAACTACATTGCAGTAGCTTTTCACTCTCTGATCAACTTTGCATCTGCCCTCCCTGCTGCATTTTAACTTTGGATGCATGGGAAGAATTATTACTCCTAGAAGTTACTGCGTTCAGAAGAAGACCTTGATCAGTGCTAGCCTTGGAGGGACTTCCATGCCTGTGGATGTATCCCCATCGTTCAACCTAGTTTTGTGTAAGTTCAAAGGAAAAGTGTTCATAACTAACATTTTGTGTTGACTACCAGCCTTGAGCTTTATTCAAGGTGAAAGCTTTCGTGTGCACGCACACTTTGTCAGACACAATGAAATGAAACCCACCAGTCCACACACACACATAGGGAGAAGGTAGGCAGCAAATTAGCATAATGAAGATGTTCTAACAGATTCAAGGAATGACCAGCTTAGTTTATATGGTACCATTTGTTTGGGTTCAACTCTGGGGGGGAGAAAAGCATAGTTGATGCCTGACAAAGTATGTGTGCACAAAAAAGTGTACACCTTGAATAAAACTTTGTTGGTCTTAAAGGGGCCCCTGGACTCTGTCAATGTGGTATAGCGGTTAGACTAGTGTCAGGGTAGGATCTGGGAGACCCAGGCTTGAATCCCTGCTCTGCCACGGACCTTGGGGCAGTCAGACACGTTGAGCCTAAACTACCTCATAGTGTTAAGAGGATAAAATGGCAGAGAGGACAAAGCCTCTTTGGATCCTCACTTGGGAGAAAGGTAGGGTAGAAGTGAATTAAATAAATGATCAAGTTAATTGTTATGCCCATTAGATTTTCCTATGTATGGAAAACTGGCATTTCATAAAACACTAAACTAGTAACATACTTGGATCGTGCAGATACGTGAAGCTGCTCCCAGTAAAACAACTGTCTCTGTTCTTAATTTATCCCTATGGATTTTTAACCTACTTTCTCCTAAAGCCTAGCATAGACAGCAACAGCTCATAAGAACATAAGAGAAGCCAATGTTGGATCAGGCCAGTGGCCCATCCAGGCCAATACTCTGTCACACAGTGGCCAAAAACACCAGGTGCCATCAGGAGGTCCATCAGTGGGGCCAGGACACTAGAAGCCCTCCCACTGTTGCCCCCCCAAGCACCAAGAATACCCCAAGGTCAAGCACAAATATCCAATTGGAATCAGAATAAACGGTGTAAAACTCCTGTAACTTTGGCTATAAAAACAAGGCCTCAGTCCTATAATACTTTCTCAAATGCTCCAGCATTCTGTGAAAACTCACCAAAGAAATGGTCACAACTTGGGGGAAGAACTCTCTCAGTATCTTCTGCTAGGGTTACTTTCAATTTGCATTCAACAATGCATACTTTGCAATCCTAGCTCTCTTCCCCAAGATTCCTCTTTGAAACCATGGCAGAAATGTTCCTGAAATGCAAATATTGTCTTCTATGTATACTTTTTTTGGTTTGTAATTTACGGATAGTATCCCTGCTTACATCTCAGCGAAGAAGTTGCTTGCAGGTTTGTTGGATGTAAAAATCATTGTTGGGCTTCCTTGATACAGCACTGGGGGGGGGGGGGGTGTCTTACCAGTGTAGATGGGGAGGGAGGATCTGATCTCCTTTAGGCTGCTACCCACCGCAGTAGACACTAGCAGTGATTGGGGTGGAGAGGGTGGTTTTGGGTTCCAGTTCTGTGGCAGCATGGCTGGTTAGTGTGTGGAGGGAAGGCCCTGGTTGTTAAACTTAACAGTTAACCTGTATGTTACCTTTTGCATATCTGAACTCATTTTCCATCTGGGAACCTGGAAAGAGAGTGTGAGTATCTGTCAAGGCATGGAGGACTCTGGACTTGTCCTCCAAGTCTAACACTGTCCTTTGGACTGCCTTGCCTGTCTTATCAAACATACACACTGACCCTGTGATTTTTTTATATGGCACTTCCTCTGGATGGAATAAAAGTGGAACGAGTGAAAAGAGAACTAAGCAGCAGTTTAAATCACTCTGTGCTACCCTAAAATATAAAAGTACTGAGATTAAAAAGTGAAATATAAACCTCTAGAAGGATGCCAAGGAGGCGAGAGCCAGCATGCCATAAAGGCTAGAATCCTGGATTAGCATCTTGGCAGCCTCTATTCAGTTCCCAACTCTGCTGTGAAAGCTTTCTGGGTGACCGTGGCCCTGTCCCCCTCAGGCTAACCTACCTGCCAGGGTTGTTGTTTAGGATAAAGTGGAAGAAAGGAGAATGATGTAAGCTGCTTTGGGTCCTTTCTGGGGAGAAAGGCAGGGAATAAATTAAGTTTAGTAACAGGGTTGTTTGCGGGGGAGGAGAAAAGAGGGGAAATCTTTGTGCCAGCTAAGTTGGTCCTTGGCTGAGTTTCTGTTCCTCCTCCATTGCAGGTATTTTAGCCTGGGTAGGGCCAGAAATATGAGCCATTGGAATGGGCTGACAGGCAAGAGCTAAAGGATTCTTGGTCCGTGATTGTGATCTGTGGCCCTGAATGAGCCAACCCAAAAGATCCAGAATCAGCTCAGGAGTTGGAGCTGATGTATTTTTTCCTTTGTGAATCTTGGATCTGTCTTTCAATGTAAGCTGCTCTGAGTCCCCCAGTGGGGAGAAAAGTGGGACAGACTAAATATCTAAATGCTGTGAGCAATGGGAAAGAATTTCCACACACACACACACGGGTGGTGGTGGTAGTGAAGGTTTCCTTTTGGGTAGTCCCTCTGCTCTATAGAGGCCAACTTTGAAGGGCCTGAAAAGCCGCACAAAACTGGGAACGTCCAATCACAAAAGCAGATCAGCAACATCAATATTATTAAAACTATCATGAACAGGACAGAAGAATCCAAAAGTTTTTTGTTGAATATTTAAAGTAAGTCTTTGAAAGATCTGGTGTTAATTACTCACAGCTATAGATAGTACAGGAAAGGAATCCAATGAGAAACAGTAAAATCAGCATCAATAATCAGGAAAAGGCCTTCTCATGTCACTGAAAGGAAACCAGAGAAGCAGCCTGGTGAGTCCTTCAACCCTTTGGGCTGTTGAGTGTGTCTCCTGCCCAGCAAGCTTCCCTTCACATACACTACTTTATGGCTCTGGTAGCAAAAGCTTGTCCAGTTTGGTGTAGTGCTTAAGTGCGTGGACTTTAATCTGGAAGAACCAGGTTTGATTCTCCACTCCTCCACTTGTACCTGGCTGGATGACCTTGGGCAAGCCATAGTTCTGATAAGAGCTGTTCTTGATAAAAGAGCAGTTTCTGTCAGAGCTCTCTCGGCCCCACCTACCTCACAGGGTGTCTG